TGACCGCAATTTTTGCTAGGCTTCCTTCATTTGAGCTCGACAAAAAGCAAATTCTCTCAACTATCTTGTGAACTTTTAGTGCATAACATTGAGATAATGTTGCATCAATCATATGAATCAATCTTCATATGATTTCGTATAAAAGCATTGACAGAGTATTCGTATACATGCTACAGTTGGGAACACCCAAAATTCTTGAGCATCATTCAATAGCATTACTCTTATCAAATGAGTACACTGCACCCCAAGGTAGTAACTCAAAACCGGCCCAAGACAGGGTATCAGATTACTAAACACCATAAATCTCCAAAAAGCATAAACTTACGTAATCTAGCTGCTCTTTGTTATGATCGGCGCTCAAACAAAATCGCACCCGCGCTTTAGTTATGGGAGTGGCCGGAAACCCCACGGCAACAAGTCCAATATCGTACTTCAACGTTTCCCGCGAAAATTCGCTGAAATGAGCCGAGTGGTTTACCTCTCTGATTTGTTTTTCAAAAAATAATGCATAAAGCTTCCAACGTACACAACTTTGGTGATGTGGAATGTCATTAATGGCACGACTGGGCTATCTTCATGACCATAAATAAGGAAGCCCATTTGCTTCAGACGTCTTCGGAAGTAGCGAGAATTTCTTAACAGTTGTACTGCTTTACGAGCTCCAATATCAGTACCATCTTCGCCAAGCATGATCTATAGCTTTTCAATAGAAAATCATCCAAAGAATGGAGTCTCACGTAAGCATACTTTCATACTACTTATCACTTGTGCGGCTATCGGGGGCGACATCGCAGCTCCATAGCACGGTCCAGCCGAATCGCACCGTACATGTTCAATCAAAGCCTAAACAACAATTGAACTTAAGCTTTACTGGAAAGGCCAAAAAAATAAATTTTTACAGAAAAATATACAATAAGACAGCAAACTTCTGCGATGAAAATTTCAACATCTTAATTGTTAATTTCACAAGCTCACCTTCGTTCCTCCTATGTATCCGCCTGCTGCAGCAAAACTCTTTGTTAAAGTTCCCATCAAAATATCCACATCTTTAGGATTGCAGCCCCAATATTCCACTACTCCCTTGCCAGTGGGCCCAAGAGCGCCTAAATAGACTCAGACTAAATCATTTTGAAAAAATAGGGTGAAAAGGGCGCTTACCAACGCTATGTGCTTCATCCAGGAAAAGGTAAGCTTTGTACTTCTTCTTTATCCGTATGAATTCCGGTAGATTCACAATTGTGCCTTCCATACTATAAATCAAGTTACGCAACTCATATTGTTAGATCAAAAGATTGCAAACCTGTAGATACCCTCAACAACAATGAGAACTTTGTTGTACGGTTTTCCAGTTTTTGGGCTTACACCGCACAGAGCGTTCCTCAACTTCTTTTCACAGTCTGTGGCATCTAAAGGTCAACTATTCAGACGGC